TAAATCGAGGGCTGGGAATATGGCTTAGTGGTAGAGGGTTTCCCTAGCATTCAAGAAGCCCTGGGTTTCCATTTCTCAGTACCACATAAACAGAAAAAGCCAGAAGTGTTGCTGTGGCTCAAGTGGTAGAGCGCTAGCTCTGAGCACAGAGGCTCAGACACAGAGCCCAGGCCCTGAGTTCAAACCCCTGGACTGGAAAAAAAGAAAAAGGAAGTAAGCTGAGAAGGAGCAACACTGACCGAGAAGCTTGTACTCATAACCTGAGTTATAGAGTCAATTTTGTTCAACTAGTTGACAATAAGAAAGAGAAAGGAACAAAGGAAGGAAGAAAAGCAAGAACAAACTGGGCAAGGCAGTATATTCCTATAATCCCATCTTCTCAGGAGATGGAGATAGGGTAACAAGTTTGTGGACAGTCTGGGCAAAGGTAGCAGACACTGTTTTGAAAACAAAAGATAAAAAGACTGAGGCAGTAGCACAAATGGATGAGTACTTGCTTAGCATGTGCTAGGACCTGGGTTCAATCTCCGTGTACAGGGGAAATTAAAAAAAAACAACTATTATCTAAATCTAGTTTCCATATGGAGAATGGATTGGAGGCAAGACAAGATTTTTACAGTAATCCAAAGAGCATAGATTGATGGTTTGGAAACAAATGGATTTGGGAGGTTCAAGAGATAGACCTGAGCCACTACGTTAGATTTCTCAGGGTAAACGAGTGGAAAATAGCCGGGCGCTGGTGGCTCACGCCTGTAATCCTAGCTACTCAGGAGGCTGAGATCTTAGGATCCCGGTTCAAAGCCAGCCCGGGCAGGAAAGACCGTGAGACTCCTATCTCCAATAAACCACCAGAAAACCGGAAGTGGCACTGTAGCTCAAGTGGTAGAGCGCCTGCCTTGAGCTGAAGAGCTGAGGGACAGCTCCCAGGCCCAGAGTTCAAGCCCCACGACCGACCAAAAAAAAAAAAAAAAAGAGTGGAAAATAAACTTTCTTTTTTTTAGCATCAGGCAAAGACTCAAGTTGATTTAACATTGTGGTTTGAGTGTACTGGATTCTAAGTGCATCTGGCACTGACGTGTTCTCCACACACACACATACCCATACTGGGTTTTAAATTCGGGGCCCCATGCTTCCTAGTACTTGAGGCAGACTTCCATCCCTAGGGTTTTTTTTTTTTTTTTTAAAGGGGATGCTTGCTTGCAGTGGGAAAGGGGCCTGTAGAGACTTCGGTGCCAGGCGGGTGCACAGAATTTCTACATCCAATCCTGTACTGGTGGTCAGCAGCATTATGAATTATCCCTCTGTTTGTTGGTAGCTGGAACAAACCAGCAATTGTCTCTTGCACAGGAGGAATGCCCTTCTCTCAACTGACAATCATACCCGCGCAAACTTCCTGTGCCTTGCTCTCTCCTAACGTCTTTAGGAAGTAAGGTGATTTCTAGCCCCTGGAATACCTTTCTTCTTGTAAACTATAGAGATGAGAAAACTATAAAAGCTATGAGATCATATGTTGTCTCCCACTCGTTAATTTGACATCATATGAAGGTAAAAGGACAAAATGTGACCGCTTCTCTCCTTTTTAATCCAAGCCCCAGCGAACACTCCCGTCCCGGTCGTTAGATGGCCACCGGGCCGCAGGAGCTTGGGGGAGGATCGGAAGGATTCGGGGGGCCTCATGCCAGCTGCACCCAGGCCAGTCATTTAGCTCACCCTTGGCCCGCAGGAGGGATAAACCAACCTGGAAGGGGTAAATCTCGAAGCCAAAAGGACACAATATGTCCTCGATCTTCTGCTTCAGCTCTGCGACACGCGGCTCCATAGCGCACGCTGCACACTGAGCTTGCTGGGGAATGGAGTCTCAAAGGTAACACAGCCGTTACTTTTTAAGTCAGCTTAGACTCCATTTCCCAGAAGCCACTAGGACCAGAACGAGACAGAGTTGGACCTGAGCGATGCATCTTGGGATACGTAGTCCGCTCGTCCTGGAGCCCACAACTCCAGAGCCTCGAGAGACTCGGTATCCCGACAAGCTTCACGGAGGGCGGGGAGTGTACGCACGGGTCGTTTCCAAGGAAACAGCTCCGCCGCCTCTACGGACTTTATTTCCCGGGTGGCGCCGCGGTGTTGCCTAAAGTATTTTCTCCACCTACTGGAGGGTTTGAACCTAGCGGCGGCAGTGGTCGGTGACACAGGTTTGGTGTGTTGGTGCCAGCGTCCTAGATTTGGAGGGGTATCGACCAAGATTTGACATCTTTCACTCTCATTTGATAACTGCTTTATCAGACTATTGTGCTCCTCCCGCCACCTCCCCATCCCCCCAACCAAGCTCCCTAAGACATCACCTCTTTTGCCTAGTGCCAGAATCATAGTTTGGTGATATATTGCGTCCTTTTCCCTAGTATTGTATCCCTATTCTCCTTTGTCCATCTAATGTCATGGTCTTTCCTGGGCTGCACTTCCGATATCCCCATCAGGGAGAACAAGAGCACGAGCTATCAGGGAGCCAGACCCCTGCCACAGGCTATGATATGAACTGGTATGAGCAAATTGACACACTTCTAAATGCAACTGATGGAAGTATGGCCCGGATTAAGGTAAGGAGGTGCCCACATCCCCACGGCTTTTTTTTGATGGTGGGGTGAATTAAGGAACATTAAGATCTTATTGGCCTGAGGAAGTTTCCTTTGTAGCAGAGGCTGTATTCCTTTGGAGTCTCCACTACAGGTAAATATTGCCCCTTTCTACTCCCAATTTTTGTTTTCAAGACCTGCTTTCTTACAGTGTCTGTACTATCTACTATTCTTTCCCAGTACCCATTATTTCCTTTCCATAACTCTGTTCCCCACTTAGATAGATTCTGCCTTGCTTGTTCCTTCCTTATACCTTCAGCAGACAACCTGGCGGGAACCTGTATTTCCTCTCACCACTTGCCTTTCAAGGCGGGAGCCCAAGTACAACAGCCTTGGGCTTTAAAGACTTCCACCACCCCAGAGAGACAGAGATGGACTGAAGCCTATAGTTCCTCTTCTCTCTGGGATGAAATTACTGTTCTCAAGTCGCAGATTCAGTCTCAGGCTCAGGTGAGCCTTGATAGCCTAGGTTTGCATGAGATGAAAATACTAGGAGTTGGGAAAGCCTCTTACATAATTGCTGTTTTTTTTTTTTAATGCTTGAGTAGGTGACTGAGACACTACAGCACACTGTGCAGGGCCTGCTGGAAGAACGAGAGCTGCTGATGTGCAAGATCAGTGCCCTGGAAGGTATCAGACCAAAACCTTAATTTATATACAAAGATGTTTGTATTTTGGTGATGGATGAACCCAAAACCTTATTTATACTAAGCAAGTGCTCTACACCTCTATCCCCTTGCACAGTTCTATATGTTGGTACACAATTTTGCTGCCTACCTGTTATGTGTGCAAGTAGTGTTGAGGTTTATGTGTGAAGCTCTCAGTAAGGTTAAGACCTTCAACTTGTTCCACAACAGCATCACTAAAATTGCTGCAGGAGGCCCCAGAAGGGCAAGCCCTTTTTCTGGAACAAGGCCTGGAGCTGAAAAGGGAACTTCAGGGCCTTAGGAGCCAGGTGCTGGAGTTAGCCCATGCTCAAATGAAAACAAGACCAAGAACAGGAAAGCACAGTACTACTAATAGCTTTCAAGAGGAGCTGCAGACTGAGTGAGTGAGAGGCAAGATTTAACCTCCTTGGGTTGGTTTGCTTATGTGTGTGTGTTTTGTTTTTTGTTTTTGGTCTTCCCTTCCCTTCCCTTCCCTTTCCTTCCCTTACCTCTCTCTCTCCTTCCTTTTTTTGTGTGTGTTCATTCTGGAGCTTGAACTCAGGGCCTGGGTGGTACTGTTTCTGAGTTTTTTTGCTTAAGGCTAACACCCTATCACTGGAGCCACAGCTCTAGGTTTTGTGTGTGTGTGTGTGTGTGTGCTTAATTTTTTTTGTGCTTAATTGGATATGAGTCTCACATACTTTCCTGACTGGGCCAGATTCAAACCATAATCCTTAGATCTCAGCCTCTTGAGTCACTAGGATTATAAGTGTGAGTTACAAGCACCTGGCTTCCTTTTCTTTTTTGATACTGGGGATGAAACCCAGGATATTGTACTATCCCAACCAAAGACTTCACCTTCTTTTTTTTTTTTTTTTGGGGTCGGGTCGTGGGGCCTGAACTCTGGGCCTGGGCACTATCCCTCAGCTCTTCAGCTCAAGGCTAGCGCTCTACCACTTGAGCCACAGCGCCACTTCCAATTTTCTTGTTTTTTTTTTTTTGGGTCCGGTCATGGGGCCTGAACTCTGGGCCTGGGTACTGTCCCCCAGCGCTCTACCACTTGAGCTTCAGCCCCACTTCTGGCTTTTTTTGCTTATGTGGTGCTGAGGAATGGAACCCAGGGCCTCATGCATGCAAGGCAAGTGCTCTACCACTGAGCCACCTTCCCAGCCCGTTTTTGTTTTTGATCGGTTGTGGGGCTTGAACTCTGGGCTTGAGTGCTGTCCTTGCGCTCTTCAGCTCAAGGCCAGCGCTCTACTGCTTCAGCCACAGGGCCACTTCCGGTTTTCTAGTGGTTTATTGGAGATAAGAGTTTCATGGACTTTCCTGCCTGGGCTGGCTTTGAACCAAGATCCTCAGATCTCAGCCTCCTGAGTAGCTAGGATTACAGGTGTGAGCCACTGGCACTTGGCTTCAGATTTTTTTGGGGGGCGGGGGGGAGGCTGTGGGACCTGAAACTCTGGGCCTGGGCACTGTCCCTCAGCTCTTCAGCTCAAGGCTAGCGCTCTACCACTTGAGCCACAATGCCACTTCAGACTTTTTTTCTTTTTGCTTATGTGGTGCTTAGGAATTGAACCCAGGGCCTCATGCATGCAAGGCAAGCACTCTACCACTGAGCCACCTTCCCAGCCTTCAGATTTGTTTTTAAGGTAGCCCTTGTGTATATGAGAGGAAGTTGGCACACACTGAGCAGGTGATAATTAGTGGTACCATTCTCTTGCAGTGTGCCCAGCTGGCTGGAAACCTGGCGGTGATACCATCAAGCCTGATGTTCAGAAGAGCAAAGAATATTTCTCTAAGCAGAAGTGAACACTGGACCATTTGTGCTGGGCTGTAGTAGTCAGCCATAATAACAGTCTCTTTTGTACTTTTTTCATGTTTAAAATACAAGATGAGATGTGTTCCATATATGCCTTCCCTACAAGGGTTGGGAGGTGAGCCTTAATTGTATTGTGGAGCAGATCATATGATGTGTATGATGTACTAGCAGTGGGGCGTCAATCTCCATTAATCTTCGGTAGTGTCTATTAAACTTGAACTGAGAGCTTGATGATTCTTCATTTTAGGGTCTATTAACCTTTGAACATTAAGAGAGCTGTATTATTTTCTTTCCTCCTCAAGGGAAAAATTGCCTCAATAAGTTACATTGGGGGGTAGTATAGAAACAGGAATTTAAACCAAAGTGTCTTATGTCAGTCGGTATGTGTAGATAGAAAAGCCTATTATGGGGGCTGGGAAGGTGGTTCAGTGGTAGAATGCTTGCCTTGCATGCCTGAGGCCCTGGGTTCAATTCCTCAGCACCACATAAGCAGAAAAAGCCAGAAGTGGCACTGTGGCTCAAGTGGTAGAGTGCTTGCATTGAGCTGAAGAGCTGAGTGACAGCGCCCAGGCCCAGAGTCCAGGACCACCCCCCCCCAAAAAAAAGAAAAGAAAAGCCTATTATGGTGTTGACAAGGACACTGCAATTTGGATGAGTGGGTGGGTTGTAAGTTACAGTCCCATGTGACATAAGTAGACATCCATGTTTACAGTCATGGGAGGGCTACTTAAGGGCCAGGAGCTTAGTCCCTTAGGATAAATATCTGTTATGTAAAAGAACAAAATTGGAACAAACAGGAGTGGCATTGTATACCTATAATCCTAACATTCCATAGGTAGAGGTAACATTGCACATTTGGGGCCAGCTTGTGTCACTAGCAGTACTCGCTTTGAAAAAGACAATAATTGAAGGTTTTGTCTCTTTGGAACAGAAAACAAACAGGTATAGTGACTTTGGGTAGGGTTTATAATACAAGTGCAGTGCTATTCACTTCTCACCTTTCTTGCATTCTATCCATTAGAAGATAGGGCTTATTTGGTCATTCATACTGTTTTGGAATTTTCAGCAGGGTGAAGTGCGGTTTCTTCTGGGTTCACGAGGCAGATTTATGTATCTCTATCAAAGGTGCCTTTTAACACATGTCAGCCACTCTTGTAATTCAGACTAGAACTATGAGCAGTCACATTGGATTCCTAGGGCCTTCAGTAATGAAGCAACAAGACCAAGCACATTCAAAGTGCTTCACATTTATTAGTCACTACTTAAGGGGTGGTTGCCCCTAAGGCCCTGTAACATGTAGTACCTTGGAGCACTTAATAGGAATGCTAACAGTGACTAATCTTGAATTCCAAAGCCAAGTGGGGATTTCTGGGTCTGTTGTATTGGATTTATCTTGACCAACACAGCCTTTTAAGTTGAGCCTACTATCAAAAAGCAGCTATACTGTCCCTACAATAAAATCTAGCTCACCAAAGCCAGTTAAGCCCTAGCAAGTACCACCATAAATTAGGGATCCCATAGAGAAGAATGATATCAAGGAACAGGGGACACAGTTGGTGAGACACTGGGGCTGAGCCAGCTGCTTGCTTTGCTGGGAATCTGAGGCTTGGTGAGCATAGGAAAGGGACACTCAGGCAATGTAGTGTTAGGTTCCTCCGAGGGCTGAGCCAAGCCTAACAGGGCCAACCTTTCAGCAGGTGGGGTAGAAAAGTAGGCCTTCTGTTCTTCTGAATAACGTTCCTGAGGGGTCACAGCATCCCTGTAAGTCCAGTCCCGCCAGTGGAAATTGAAGCCTTCAAGCAGGGTTATGCGGTCAGCTCTTGCAGGTACACAGTCAGGTGGCTTTCTGTGTGGCAGATCTGGCACTGTAATCCCTGGCAGCAACACCACGCCTCGGATGGCAAACCAGCCCCCAAATCGGGGATGGATGCACACACCTGCTATGTGCTGGTGAATAAAGAAAAGCAAGGTCATAAAGGTGACCTTGGTACTATCACAAGTCTACCATCACTGCAAGCTATCCTTGTTCATCTACTACATGCTTAATGTACACTGGTTCCACACAAAATGAACATGTTTCTTCTGTACCACCTTTTCATATGCTTACCAGAATGTGAGGAAGGGCTCATTTAAATTTAGCTTAGGGCAATTCTGTCACCTCAGGTCTTATGCATGGACGTGTCCCCAGGTAAATGAGAAAGCATGTGGGGGCTGTGTGGCTCAGTGGTAGTCTACTAAAAAGTAGGAAACATGTGAAGGAGCTGGCCCCTTGGATAGGGTTATATATCAACTTCATCAAAGGAAGAATGGGACTACTAAGGAATATCTTGAGGGTCCTTCGTTATTTTTTCTCAGTCCCTACTTATTCATGCCTGTCTCTGACCTGAGTTCCCCAAGGGTCATCTTCCACATCTCTTCGTTGGTAGTAGTAAGCAGCCCCTGCCACATGGGCTGCTGTCTGGGCCAGAATCTTAGGACGCCGGTTGGGGTGTACCTCATAGTCTGCAATGACTTCCATCTGCAGCTCTGGAAACCTCTGGAATAGAATAAGACACTGGTAGCATGAGGGGAGTTACTGTCCCTACTGGAGCCTTCATTTGCTTATTAACATGGTCCTGTTCTGAGAAGCCCTGTGTTAAAAGGAAAATCAGGGAGGCTCAGAAATGAAAAGAGACAGTTCTTTGCAGGAGGGTCTATTTGAAGGCTAGTAAGATCTTACTCAGTAAACTCCATCATGAGGGGTGATTCAGCCTTGCCCATCAGAATAACCTCCATTATGAGGGGTGATTCAGCCTTGCCCATCAGAATCCCAGTGTGTGTGTGTAAGATCTTACTCTGATAGTAAGATCTTACTCAGTAACCTCCATCATGAGGGGTGATTCAGCCTTGCCCATCAGAATCCCAGTGTGTATGTGTGTGTGTAAGATCTTACTCTGATTCAGCCTTGCCCATGAGAATCCCAGTGTGTGTGTGTGTGTGTAAGATCTTAGTGATTCAGCCAGCCTTGCCCATCAGAATCCCAGTGTGTGTGTGTGTATAAGATCTTAGTGATTCAGCCTTGCCAATCAGAATCCCAGTGTGTGTGTGTGTGTGTGTAAGATCTTACTGATTCAGCCTTGCCCATCAGAATCCCAGTGTGTGTGTGTGTGTGTGTGTGTGTAAGATCTTAGTGATTCAGCCAGCCTTGCCCATCAGAATCCCAGTGTGTGTGTGTGTAAGATCTTAGTGATTCAGCCTTGCCCATCAGAATCCCAGTGTGTGTGTGTATGTGTGTGATTACACATGTATGTATATATGTCTTAATTATATGTGTATATGCCTTACAATTCTAAGGCAAACGAAGGTAAGCATAAGCAATTCATAGAATATGTTGGCCTCTATTCCACTTTGAGGCCAAGACTGGCCTGATATTTATATATTTCAGGCTGGAGGTCTGCTAAAAGAGGGTAGTAGGACATGGGAGTGAGAAAGCAGATTAAGTAGAAAACCACAGACTGGTTTTATGGTATTATTTCACTTGTGAAATGGCTCTTAGCCCTAAGTCTAGATACTGCATTGAGCTTGGAGAGTGAATCAGATATATGGGAGATGAGGGGAAGTTGAGCCTTGCTCACCTCTATAACACGCCTCAAGTGGTAGCCCACACACTGATCCACTGGGTCAGTTAGTGGTTGGAGGTAGTGGCTCTCCAGGAAGGGCTTGAGGGCTTGGTCAAACATGGCAGGTGTGCTGAGTACAAGGAAGGCCAGGGTAGGTCCTGGAAGGGGCAGGTGGAAGGCTGGAGGCAGGAGCTCATTGTACCATGCCACCTGGAACAGAGAAAGCTCAGGCTAGATAGACAAACCAGCTTAGAACTTAGCCCATACCTTAGCAAGGAATTGAAGATCTCATCTATTTGGTTGAAATTTCCATCTCACTCATTCAATGAATTTTCACTGATGCTGTATAACCTATGGGCAACTCATCTGAATTTGACAGGGACTTAGAATATTCTGACAGAGTGCTAGAGGCATGGCTCAAGTAGTAGAGTGACTGACTGTAGAGCAAGCCCAAGGTCCTGAATTGAATCTAGTACTATCAGAAAGCAAACAGAGTTCATGACCAACCAAGAATAAATATAAAAATTGTTCAATTATTAATGCTATAATAGGGGCAGGCAAAGGTCCTCTGAAATTAAAAAAGGCTTTCTTAGAAAATATGTCTAGAGCCGGGCGCTGGTGGCTCATGCCTGTAATCCTAGCTACTCAGGAGGCTGAGATCTGAGGATCCCGGTTCAAAGCCAGCCCGGGCAGAAGAGACCGTGAGACTCCTATCTCCAATAAACCACCAGAAAACCGGAAGTGGCGCTGTAGCTCAAGTGGCAGAGCGCTCGCCTTGAGCTGAAGAGCTGAGGGACAGCGCCCAGGCCCAGAGTTCAAGCCCCATGACCGACAAAAAAAAAAAAGAAAGAAAATATGTCTAGAGGGCTGGGAAGGTGGCTCAGTGGTAGAGTGCTTGCCTTGCAAGCCAGAGGCCCTGGGTTCGATTCCTCAGCACCACATAAGCAAAAAGCCAGAAGTGGAGCTGTGGCTCAAGCGGTAGAGCGCTAGCCTTGAGCTGAAGAGCTGAGGGACAGCGCCCAGGCCCAGAGTTCAAGCCTTACGACCAGACCCAAAAAGAAAAAAAAAGAAAATATGTCTAGAAAGTTGGTAAGAAAACAGAAGGTGGGTCTGGGAAGGTGGCTCAGTGGTAGAGTGCTTGCTTTGCATGCACGAGGCCCTGGGTTCAATTCCTCAGCACCACATAAACAGAAAAAGCCGGAAGTGGCCCTGTGGCTCAAGTGGTGGAGTGCTCGCCTTGAGCTAAAGAGCTGAGGGACAGCGCCCAGGCCCAGAGTTCAGGCCCTACAACCGACCAAACAAAAAGAAAAAAAAAGGCAGGGGCTGGGAAGGTGGCTCAGTGGTAGAGTGTTTGCCTCCCATGCATGAGGCCCTGGGTTTGATTCCTCAGTACCACATAAGCAGAAAAAGCGGGAAGTGGCTCTGTGGCTCAAGTGGTAGAGAACTTGCCTTGAACAACAGTGCCCAGGCCCAGATTTCAGGCCCCACCACCACCACCACCACCACCACCAACAACAAAAATAGAAGACAGCTGGGAATGTTGCTTAGTGGTAGAGTGCTTGCCTAGTATGCATGAAGAGCTGGGTTCAATTCTTCAGTACTACATAAACAGAAAAAGCTGGAAGTGGTGCTGTGGCTCAAGTGGTAAAGTGCTAGCATTAAACAAAAGAAGCCCAGCTTAGTTCAAGCCTGCCTCAAGACTGGCAAAAAAGAAAAAGAAAAAAAACAAGGCTGAGCCAGGCGCCAGTGGCTCATACCTGTAATCCTAGCTAATCAGATCTGAGGACCACAGTTTGAAGCCAGCCCAGTCAGGAAAGTATGGCTCAAAGTGGTAGAGTGCTAGCCTTGAGTGAAAAACGCCTAGGTTGGGGCTGGGAAGTTGGCTGTGGTAGAGCGCTTGCCTTGCATACATGAGGCCCTGGGTTCGATTCCTCAGCACCACATAAACAGAAAAAAAAAGCCGGAAGTGGCACTGTGGCTCAAGTGGTAGATGCTAGCCTTGAGCTGAAGAGCTGAGGGACAGTGCCCAGGCCCAGAGTTCAGGCCGCACAACTGGACCAAAAAACAAACAAACAAACAAAAACGCCTAGGTTGTGAGTACTCAAGTGGTAGAGTTCCTCCTTCCAAGTGTGAGGTCCTGCGTTCAATCCCCTATATAACCAAAAAATACACAAGAATCTACCTCCCAACTTTTTTTTTTTTTTTGGTCATGGGGCTTAAACTCTGGGCTTGGGCACTGTCTGCGCTCTTCAGTTCAAGGCTAGCGCTCTACCACTTGAGCCACAGCATCACTTCCAATTTTCTTGTTTTTTTTTTTTTGGGTCCGGTCGTGGGCCTGAACTCTGGGCCTGGGCACTGTCCCTCAGCTCTTCAGCTCAAGGCTAGC